CTTTCCCACTTGGGTGCCCCAAAGCACTAAACCACCTACAAGACACAAACAACCCGACCCGCTGCATGCTCAGCCTAGCAAGTGTCCAGGTCTCCTCTCAGCCACCCCTACAGCCCCAGTGCAAGGCCCAGGGTGATGCCTTTTGAGAGATAGACACCAGGTTTCCCAATCATCCCAGGGCTATCACCTGGGGCGTTGAACTCCTCCCCCTTTAATTTTTTTTTCCTCAGCAATTAATTCCTTTTTTTTTCCCCTTTTCCTCTTTTTCATAACATATATATTTGTCCTTTGTCTATTCTTTCCCCCCCCCCCTTTTTTATTATTTCCTTTTTTTTCTTTTTCTTTTATTCATCATCATTTTTATTATTATTTTTCCAGGTGGGGAATTTTTTTGGTGCTGCCCTGATGCCTCCCTGGGCACATGGAAGCCTGCGGTACCCTTCATGGGGGCCGGCGGCAGCATCTGACTGGGTCCGTGGGACCGTGCTCGCCTTCTACCATACAGAGGGAAAGGCTTGGTTTGACCTCCTCCCAGCCGTCCCTGGTTCCCAGGTCTGTTTTCCAACGTGCGGCGGCGTGATGTCTTTACGCCGATGACATGGTGACGCCCACGCACCACTTGGCTGGGGAGGGGCCATTCATAATCTTGATCGGACACCTAGACATTGGTCCCGTTCAGATTTTAGCTCTTTTTTGCCCACAGCTGATTGGAACTTTTTTCAAGCCACCCTAGCTGTATTTTAATCTGGGCTAATGAGCTAATTTTTCTGCTCACAGCCATCAGGCATGCCTTGTTGGGATAGACCTCATGGTTTTCTTTACATACATATCACTTAACTATTGCAACATTTATTCATTTAATTATTTCAAAAAACAATTTATTGTTTTCTATTCTAATATTTGCACACGTTTTTTCTTTAGGTACACACTGCCTCATAGTGGGTTTGTTTATTTCACATTCCAGTCCTGATCTTTATCAGGCCATCTACACTTTCTTACAAAATTTTTTGTGGTCATCGCTCCGCACATTCATAGTAAGTGCGTTTAGCTCTCAATTTTAATCTCCTTTAGGGTTAAAAATATTGAATTGTTTTTAATATTGGTTTTTTCATTATTCAAATTGCAAGCACTGCCCCATCAGTAACTCAGCCCAGCAGGCAAACTCATTATTGTCTCGTGCAGCTGGCGGGGGTACCCTTCAGGAGGCGTTTTGGGCAGCATCTATCTTTCACTGGTTAATTTTTTCTTTCCTTTACCATTTTTTGTGTTTTAACTTATTTTTGACTGAGATATATAAGAAATCCTTGGCTGTGTTCATATAACAATTTTGTTTCTTTTTAAAAAAAAAAAATTCTTGGCAGTTTTTTTTCCTCACATGGAATCATGTAAGTGTTAGAACCATATTGTAAATTTATCAAATTGTTTATTCTAATGAAAAAGTGTGCAATGTATATTGGTACATGTATGTTTGTTATAGGATGTGTCAGGAATGGACTGGCCAGCAATGGTGGGACTCACCTGCCTTTTGATCTGCAGTACCAGGGCTGGCCAGCGGGTGCTCCCAGCAATCAGAGACTCAACCTTTCAGCCAGCTAACACCTGGAACTGATTATGCTGGGGTATTTAAGGGATGTCTGTACTACGCTGCTTGCTACCTGTTCTGATCCCTGGCTTGTGACCCTGACCATCCCTCCGCCTTACCCTCTGTACTACGCTGCTTGCTACCTGCTGAACCTGGCCTGTGACCCCGACCCATCTCCGCTTGCTCCCCCTGTACCTACCTGCCCTATTGATATTGACCCGGCCTGCCTGACGACGCTTGCTTGTATGTACTGTTATCTGTGGGTGGTTGGTTTGGTTTGGTTTGGTTTGTTTGCACTGTATTATGTTTAGTATTGCACTGCGTTTATGTTTGTATTGTTAGTGTTAATAAATTACATTGTTAATCACATATCTGAAGTCTGCGTTTCCCTGCTTCAGTCACACACCTCTGGTCATACCTGGGAGCCCTGACATTACACCAAGGCCAATCCTGACCAGAAGTGGCTGCACAGGGAAGCCATCTTGGCTTGTTGATGGGAAGGATGGATCTGGATGAGGTTGCGTATTTATATCTGCTAGTGTTTGATGACAGGGAGTATGCTTATCAAACTCTGAAGGAGTATCCCCGGGATGAACTGCTAGAATGTATACGGCTCGCTCATGTTCTAGTAGATCAGGGCACAGAGTTCTCTGAGGTGCAGCCTTTGATTGAGGTTTGTGCAGAGTTGGTTTCATCTGGTACCCCCCGAATGCAGGGATGAATTTTTGCCACCATTTAGTACAGACCAGGTAGAGTCCCTGGTGTGGTTATTAGAGGATGATGTGGGTTACTTTCTGGAGCGTTATTCCACATGTTCACCACAGACACTAAGAGATTGTATAAAACGCAGTGCAGTCATTGACCAGACAGGCTTTGTGTAAGCTCAGCTTTGTTCAACCCATACTGCAGACATGGACAGACTTGTTGCACCCAACCCCAGCCTCAGTCAGCTTACAAAAACCCAGTCCTGCTTCTAACTCTACTCCTGTATTCCCACCAGCTCCTCCAGTTACAGCCCAGTATACTTGGCTATCTACCGCATGTCAGTACCCCACCCCCGTCCCACTCGCTGCACCTATCCTGCCTTTAACCCTGTAAAAAAGCCCTCTGTAGCAACTGCTCCCTCTCCTGTTCCATCCTCCAGTTCTTCTCTGTCTCCAGCTGCTCCATTCGTTTGCAGACCTGCGTTTACTTGCAGTGCTCCAGTAGTTAAAACCAGAAAAAAAGCGAAAATTTCTTTCCAACCAATACCATCCTGCCAGTATCCAAACCGGTGAGCCTGCCTTCCGTGGTTCAGCCTGAAGCCTCTACTCAGCCTGAAGCCTCTACTCAGCCTGAAGCCTCTACTCAGCCTGAAGCCTCTACTCAGCCTGAAGCCTCTACTCAGCCTGAAGCCTCTCTTCAGCCTGATGCCTGTACGCAGCCTGATGCCTCTCTTCAGCCTGATGCCTGTATGCAGCCTGATGCCTCTACTCGGCCTGATGCCTCTACTCGGAACCTGAAGCCTCTACTCGGCCTGAAGCCTCTACTCGGCCTGATGCCTCTACTCGGCCTGAAGCCTCTACTCGGCCTGAAGCCTCTACTCGGCCTGATGCCTCTACTCGGCCCTGATGCCTCTACTCGGCCTGATGCCTCTACTCGGCCTGACGCCGGCTTCAGCCTGATGCCTCTACCCAGCATGATGAACTGATCCAGGCTGACGATCCTATTAGCCAGTTGACTCGATGCCCGCTGTTGATCCAGATGATCCGGTACCTGATCCGGTGCCCGCTGTCGTGCCAATTGACTCAGAGCCCGCTGTCGTACCTGGTGACTCGGTGCCCACTGCCTTGCCAGATGACGCGGTGCCCGCTGGCAAGCCAAATGACCTGATGCCTGGTGACCCAGTGCCCGCTGTCATACCTGTGACCCGATGCCTGCTGTCGAGCCAGACAATCCGGTACCTGATGACCCGGTGCCCCACTGTCGTGCCTGTTGACTCGGAGCCCACTGCCTTGCCAGATGACGCGGTGCCCGCTGTCGAGCCAAATGACTTGATGCCTGGTGACCCCCGATGCCCGCTGTCCAGCAGACGATCCAATGTCTGACCCAGTGCCCGCGGTCATACCAGTTGACTCGGAGCCCACTGCCTTGCCAGATGACGCGGTGCCCGCGGTCGAGCCAAATGACCTGATGCCTGGTGACCCGATGCCCGCTGTCCGGTCGTCAGACGATCCAATGTCTGACCCAGTGCCCGCGGTCATACCCAGTTGACTCGGAGACCCACTGCCTTGCCAGATGACACGGTGCCCGCTGTCGAGCCAAATGACCTGATGCCTGGTGACCCGATGCCCGCTGTCCAGTCAGACGATCCAATGTCTGACCCAGTGCCAGCGGTCATGCCAGTTGACTCGGAGCCCACTGTCGTGCCTGGTGACTCGGTGCCCGCTGCTCCGCCTGGGGGCCCGAGACCTGTCGCTCCGCCTGGGGGTCCCAGCGCCCGCCGCTCCTCCTGGGGGTCCGGCGCCCGCCGCCCCGCCTGGGGGCCCGAGACCTGTCGCTCCGCCTGAGGGCCCGAGACCTGTCGCACCGCCTGGGGGTCCGGCGCCCGCCGCTCCGCCTGAGGGCCCGAGACCTGTCGCTCCACCTGGGGGTCCGGCGCCCGCCGCTCCGCCTGAGGGGCCCGAGACCTGTCGCTTCCGCCTGGGGGTCCGGCGCCCGCCGCTCCGCCTGAGGGCCCGAGACCTGTCGCTCCGCCTGGGGGTCCGGCGCCCCTGCCGCTCCGCCTGGGGGCCCGAGACCTGTCGCTCCGCCTGGGGCCCGAGAACCTGCCGCTCCACCTGGGGGTCCGGCGCCCGCCGCTCCGCCTGAGGGCCCGAGACCTGTCGCTCCACCCGGGGGTCCGGCGCCCGCCGCTCCGCCTGAGGGCCCGAGACCTGTAGTTCCGCCTGGGGGTCCGGCGCCCGCCGCTCCGCCTGAGGGCCCGAGACCTGTAGTTCCGCCTGGGGGTCCGGCGCCCGCCGCTCCGCCTGGGGGCCCAATGCCTGTCGCCCCGCCTGGGGGCCCGATGCCTGTCGCCCCGCCCGGGGGCCCGATGCCTGTCGCCCCGCCCGGGGGCCCGATGCCTGTCGCTCCGCCCTGAGGGCACGAGACCTGTAGTTCCGCCCGGGGGCCCGAGGCCTGTCGCCCCCGCCCGGGGGCCCGAGGCCTGTCGCCCCGCCCGGGGGCCCGAGGCCTGCCGCTCCCCCGCCCGGGGGCCCGAGGCCTGCCGCTCCGCCCGGGGGCCCGAGGCCTGCCGCTCCGCCCGGGGGCCCGGTGCCTGCCTGCTCCGCCCGGGGGCCCGGTGCCTGCCGCTCCGCCCGGGGCCCGGTGCCTGCCGCTCCCGCCCGGTGCCTGCCGCTGCCGCCCCTGCCGCCCGCCCGTGGCCCGCTGCCTGCCGCTTCGCCTGGTAGCCCGATGTGCCTCTGCCCGGAGTCCTGCCCGATGTGCCTCTGCCCGGAGTCCTGCCCCTGTGCCTCTGCCCGGAGTCCTGCCCGATGTGCCTCTGCCCGGAGTCCTGCCCGATGTGCCTCTGCCCGGTGTGCCTCTGCCCGGAGTCCTGCCCGGTGTGCCTCTGCCCGGAGTCCTGCCCGGTGTGCCTCTGCCCGGAGTCCAGCCCGATGTGCCTCTGCCCGGAGTCCAGCCCGATGTGCCTCTGCCCGGAGTCCAGCCCGATGTGCCTCTGCCCGGAGTCCAGCCCGATGTGCCTCTGCCCGGAGTCCAGCCCGATGTGCCTCTGCCCGGAGTCCAGCCCGATGTGCCTCTGCCCGGAGTCCAGCCCGATGTGCCTCTGCCCGGAGTCCAGCCCGATGTGCCTCTGCCCGGAGTCCAGCCCGATGTGCCTCTGCCCGGTGTACCGCTGCCCGGAGTCCTGCCCGGTGTGCCAGTCTTTGATATCCCGCCAGTTACCAGACCCGGGCGGTGGAACATTTTTTCCCAGCTAGGACTGTTTGGAGCGTCCTGAGGCCGCTCCTTGAGGGGGGGGGTACTGTCAGGAATGGACTGGCCAGCAATGGTGGGACTCACCTGCCTTTTGATCTGCAGTACCAGGGCTGGCCAGCGGGTGCTCCCAGCAATCAGAGACTCAACCTTTCAGCCAGCTAACACCTGGAACTGATTATGCTGGGGTATTTAAGGGATGGCCAGACTTGCAGACTCTGCCTTGGTGTTGTGTTTTGTCTCTTGGGCCCTGTATCCTGTTCCTGCTCTCTGTTCCTGTCTGATTCTCTGCTGACCCTGCTCTGATCCCTGGCTTGTCTGACCATCCCTCTGCCTGACCCTCTGTACTACGCTGCTTGCTACCTGTTCTGATCCCTGGCTTGTGACCCTGACCATCCCTCCGCCTTACCCTCTGTACTACGCTGCTTGCTACCTGCTGAACCTGGCCTGTGACCCCGACCCATCTCCGCTTGCTCCCCCTGTACCTACCTGCCCTATTGATATTGACCCGGCCTGCCTGACGACGCTTGCTTGTATGTACTGTTATCTGTGGGTGGTTGGTTTGGTTTGGTTTGTTTGCACTGTATTATGTTTGTTTAGTATTGCACTGCGTTTATGTTTGTATTGTTAGTGTTAATAAATTACATTGTTAATCACATATCTGAAGTCTGCGTTTCCCCTGCTTCAGTCACACACCTCTGGTCATACCTGGGAGCCCTGACAAGGTGTCATGCCTCCTTGAGCACTTCTGAGGAAGAGATTTTTGTTGATCTCGAAACACGTCAAGTGCGAACCATGCATGATCCATGACTAGATTTGTAACACCATCTTTGATGACACCACCATGTGTCATGTGGTAGACTTCCCCCACTGTCAGAATACACTGATCAGCACTGTCGGCTTTAGCCTGCAACAGTGACCAAATTGAAAATCCGATAGGGTGGTTGTACAGAATTCGATTGGTAAACATAATGCCAGAGTATTGCCGAGTCCTTCCTTTTCTAAGTGAACACAAGGAGTGATCTCTACTGAGCACTCACTGTGTTCATTCATAACTGAAGCATAGTAAACTGTGTCTACTATGCTTTCATTTATGAATGGACAGGAGCCTCTGTCTCCTGTTCATTTATCTGCAGTGCAGCTGAGGCTAAACAGAAAATGTTTGGGGAATGTTTCCTCAGTCCCTTTCAAAAGTGAGACTTCAGAGGTCTGATTAGACCCCTGATATCTCACCAAAGCCTCCCGAAAAAAAAAAAAATACAATTGGGCTAAAATTTCTGCTCAGACTAAATAGTAAACACCAAATAAGTGGCATAGTTTAGCTACACCCACTGTGTGCCGCAAGTCACCATCTCCCTGGAAGGGGCCCCAATTCATTATTTTTCCCAAGGGCCCATAAGAGGCTCCTGGTACCTTTACTGGGTCCCCAGATTTAAGTCTGACAACCTGCATGTTGCAGAGCTCAGTGTCCACATGGGCCTGCCACATTAATGTTGCATCATAAAGATGGCTGGTGTATGGTGGCCATCTTTACACCCGAGGGACCCATGAAATCTCAGTCTATCCCTGTACACAACACATTATCATATTCAGTTTTGCCATTTTTCTCCCTGCTACACATGACACTGCATGGAGACAAGTCCTTATCAGTTCTCAATCTTACTGCGGACCTCCTCACCAGACTTGCAGCCACTTCACCAGTATTAGACACATAATCAGTCTCTCTCATATTTGTAATATCAACATTCCACTTGGCAGGAGTTTCAATCTTCCTCTGCATGCGTCGCCTCAGGAACCATTCCTCTGTCACACTTTCCCTGGCACATTTCCCCATGCAGCCACAGGGTGAAACAACAGATGCTCTCCTAGGCATCCAAGACACTCGGGCATCCCTGCCCGATTGCCGCTTTAAACCTGTTGTAGTCATCTCCGTCACAGCCCTGGACCTTCATTGGCAGAAAGGGCTGTACTAATCCAGCCCAGCCACCGCTGGGCCATGCTTTAAATGAATCAACATTCCTAAATTCCGCCAAAAGTCCTCAATATGATTGGTAGGTAACATAGGGGGTATGAAGTTAGCAGCACAGACTGCACCTTCATTGCGACAGACTACAGCACTACAAACAAAGTCTCTGGTAACTCACTATTCTGGCGTGCAAGGACCCGGAAAGCCCTGTCTTGCCCATATCTGAACACCAATTGTAGTTCAGATATGGGGGTAGTTTAACTCAATGGTAGTGCAAACCCTGGGTCCAGTCCACTTCAGAAATCAGTTTAAGGGCTTTTTCCACCCATTTTTATTTAAAACAGCAAATAAAAGTTCAAAAAAGATATCAGTTGCACAATAAAATACATCAACCTCGAGGCTCACTCTTTTTGACAATCCTGCTGCTCAGGCCTTATAAACGCGGTCCTTTTGACTAACAAACACATGTCGCAGTGCCCATGCACCAATTGCTGTACCTCTGTCAGCTTCGTTCTTCTTGTCACTTTCCTTGCAGCTCCTTCTCTCTCTCAGGAGTGGTTCTCTGTCTGTCCTGGATAATACAGTACAGCCATACACCTCTCTACTCTGATTCCCAGAAGGGTGGAGCCCTGGACTCTATTCCTGATTCTCCTATAAACCCAGCACACATCTGCACCATTAGTGTGCCTGTTTTCCTACAAATCCTGCTCTAGACTGGCTTTTTCTACAGTGGCATGGCCTCGCACTGCCACAGGGTACAGAGACAGGAAAAGTGCCTGTCTCTGTATGCTGTGTTGCAGGTGTATATTTGTTGCCATTACCTCCTCCTGTTGGTTGTTGAGGACACTGTTGGCTTTAACAGGATGGATCCACCCACTGCTTGCTGTCAGAAACAAGATGAACGGATCTGCTGGGGAAATGATGTCTCAGCTACTCCAGCAGACTCTGACACTCAGCCACAAACGTCCTCGGTGCTGCAGTGGCAGGAGAGAAGTTGGCTAAACTGAAGACAAAGTGTCTGCATGGAAACTCTGCTCATAGTTGTCCTTGTCTTGCACCAAATTCACATACCTAATTACACATAGGTACATGAATCTGTCACCTGCATTGACATTTGTTGCGCAGAAGCATGATGGAATGTTACATAGTGTAAGGTCTGGCTCACACTAGCACGATTTTAGATGTAACTTGTCATACAAAATCACATGACAATGAAAATCACATTATTCTCTATAGTGCCTGTTTATATCAATACAACGCAACTACGATGCAACATTGGAGAAGGTACATGCGCTACTTTGGTGAGATGCACCATGATTTTGTGCCCCGTGGACTTTATTGAAATTGATGCAAAAAGGCATGTGCATGCGTTTTTGGTGGCATTTTTTGCCTGTTTTGTGTCGGTTGTTAGGAGCTGGCCCTTGCCAACATCCTAACAACCATGTCTTGTCTCTGCTCTGACTGCAGGGATGAGTCATTGGTTGTTAAGGAGCCGACACCTGCCAGCATCCTGACAACCAATGACTCATCCTGTTTGTGAAGCACTGCTTCTCTTTCTCCTATACTAACCACTTGCCCTCCTGAGGATTTACCCCCCTTTCCTGACCAGGCCATTTTTTTTGCGTTACGGCACTTCGTTATTTTAACTGACAATTGCACGGTCATGCAATGCTGAACCCAAATGAAATGTAAGTCCTTTTTTGTGTCCCACAAATTGAGCTTTCTTTTGGTGGTATTTGATCGCCTGTGCGGTTTTTATTTTTTAGCGCTATAAAACAAAAGAACCGACAATTTTGAGAAAAAAATTATATACTTTTGACTTTTTTTGCTATTAAAACATGTCCAGTAAAAAAATTAGAAAATTTATGTCATAAATTTACACCAAAATGTATACTGCTACAAGTCTTTGGCTAAAAATAAAATCCCAATACGTGGTAAATTGTTTACGTGAAAAAGTTATAGCATTTACAATGCGGTATACTGTATATACTGGAAATTTTTTTTTTTCTATCTTTACTAGTAATGGCTGCAATCAGTGAACCTATAGCAGGGACTGCAGTGGACATTCTGACACTGTGGAGAACTGACTTGGTGTCACAGACATCCCCAGTGACACCAATACAGTACTCAGAGATATACAATGCTAAAAAAATGTAAAAAAAAAAGCACTGACACTGTACT